GGGTTCAATCGAACCCTTCCTCTTCCTTGCCTTGCCTTGCCTTGCCTTCTCCATCAATCAATTCTTCTCATCATCAAACAACAAAACCCAAAAAATATATATATATATATAATTTTTTTTTTAGTTTTTGCCCCTGGGTTCAAACCCAACGCCGGGTTCGAAAGAACCCAGGGATGGATTCCTTGGAACCTAGCGTCAGGTTCAAAGGAACCCAGCACTGAGTTCGTAAGAACCCAGGTGTTGGGCTCCTTCGTACCCGCATCGGGTTTGAAGGAACCCAACGCCGGATTCGTAAGAACCCAAGCCTGGGTTACAAGGAACCCAACATTGAGTTCGTAGAACCAAGCGCCGAGTTCGAAGGAACCCAGCGCCGAGTTTGTAAGAACCTAGGCCTGGGTTCCAAGGATCCCAGCACCGAGTTCGTAGAACCCAGGCATAGGTTCCTTCAAACCCAATGCCAAGTTCGAAGGAACCAGGCATTGGGCTCCTTCAAACCTAGCGTCGAGCTCGAAGGAATCCCAGCGCCTGGGTTCCAAGGAACCCAGGAACCCAAGAACCCAAGACCCCAAGAGAAACAGAAAGGGAAGGAGAAAGGGAAAAAAAAAAAGAGTTTTTTAAGTTTTTTTTTTTTTTTTTCATATTAATATTTTTTTACCATATTATTATTTTTTTCCATGTCACTATTTGTTTGCCATGTTGTCTTTCGCGTATTTTGACATGTCATAGTGTCACCGTGAATTAATAGGACATGTCATGCCATTATTAACGGTAGGGACCAAATCGGGGTTAAAATGGTAAATAGTAGGGATCAAATTAGAGATTTTTTGAGTTGAGGAACTCAATTGGGGGTTCAGACAATAGTTGAGGGACCAAAAAGGAGGTTTAACCTAATTCATAATGAATTTACAAGGTGTTCCTCCACTTAATTAGATTTGAAAAGGAGAAAGCAATGAAAAAAAAAAAATCCTTTTATGTAAGTTTCTCGAAGCGCAAAATTTTTGTCTGCTCTCATCTGTAACACTATTCTGTTTGTTTTTGCAGAATTCAATTCTGTTCGCAATCTTTCTCTGTGTTCAAGCGTAATGGCTGAAATTGCCCTTACCTTCCTCAGCCCTGTCATTGAGGAGGCAATTTCCAAGATATTTTCGTTTGTTAGGGAACGAATCGGGAATGCACTGGGTTTGGAGGAGAAGCTTAATAAGCTTCGCAGTTCTCTCAATTTGATTCAATCCCTCCTCCAACGAGCTGAACAAAGGCAAGAAAATGATCCAGCTATAAGGGATTGGCTACAGAATCTCGAAAAGGTAGCTTATAAGGCATTGAATGTACTGGATGAGTGTGAGTACAAGGTTCTTAAGCACAAAGTTAAGAATCGTTGGCAGCTCTTGAAACCTGTCATCTTTTCTCCCAAGTTTCGTAGTCATATGACTAGCGAAATCAAGCACATTACTGATGAGTTGGACTATTTGCAAGGCTTGGCTCCCATGAACCATGATCAACCTGGTGGTCACATTCAGCGGTCAAACTTGTCCAAGGCAATATCGAAAGACAGACTCTTTTCCTGAAAATTCCAAAGTAATTGGAAGTGCAAGTGATATCTCAAGAATTGTCAAATTGTTGCTTAACCTGAGGAGCAGTCAACATAAGATCTCTGGCATTTCCATAGTAGGTATGGCTGGGGTTGGAAAGACAACAATAGCAAGATCATTGTACAGGAAAGCAAAGGAAGAAAAGCTCTATGATCTAATGGCTTGGGTGTGTGTATCTGAGGACTTCAATGATCAAATAATTTTGGTAGAGATGTTAGAGCATTTTGGTGGTAATGCTGCTCCTAGGAATAGTATGAATGCATTGCTTGAAGGGCTTGCCAAAGTGTTAGAGAACAAAACTTTTCTTCTCATTCTTGATGATGTATGGAATGAAGATCCTAAAAATTGGGATTCTTTCAGCTCTCATTTGTTCAAAATTCTAAAAACAAACGGGAGCTCTATTGTTGCAACAACTTGCAGTGAAAAGGTAACATCTGTGATGGAGTCAATTCCTATGCAAAGCTATAAAATGCAGGGGCTATCAGATAATGAATGTTGGTTGATAATCAAGGAGAAGTTTCTTAGATCATCCATAGATACTTCTTCAATGCCTCCAAATTTGGAAGCTATTGGACAGGACATCGCAAAACGATGTGGGGGTTCACCATTAATTGCAAGTGTTATCGGAGGGACATTAAATCGTCAAGCCAATGCAGATGCGTGGGAGGCTATCAAAAATGATGAAGCTTGGAAATTTAATTCTGGGGCTGGAGATGAGATTTTGCCTGTATTGAAAATAAGTTTTGATCGCTTACCATCTCCTTTAAAAAAATGCTTTTCTTACTGTGCAATTTTTCCAAAGGATTTTGTCATTGAAATAGATGACTTAGTTCAACAGTGGATGGCTGTTGGATTTCTTCACCAATCTAATGGAAGCTCCACAATGGAAGATATTGGTAATAACTATTTTAAACACTTGTTAGCCAATTCCTTATTTCAAGACGTGGAAATGGATGAATATGGGAATATCACATTTTGCAAGATGCATGATGCAGTACATGATCTTGCAATGTTTGTCTCAAAAGGTGAAGTTTTGATTTGGGAGGAGTCTGGTTGCGATATTGATGAGAATTCTAAAGTTCGACACTTGAGAATTAAGGCAGAGGGAAAAGTGTCTCCAACCATTCCAGGAGCCATTCTAGAAGGGTTGCATTCTTTGTTCTCAAGTGTTCATGCTTTCAAAAGCATGGCATCTGATTTGAAAACCTTGCGATCTTTAAAATTAGTAGGAGATGACACAAAATATTTATCAAATTCTTTAGGCCAATTGAAGCATTTGAGATACTTTGACATCTCAAGAACTGAATTCAATGTCCTACCGACGTCCTTCACTAAGCTCTTCAATTTGCAGACTTTAAAACTCATGCAGAGTTCTCTTCTTCTGAAATTCCCTAATGATATGAAAAATCTGATTAGCTTGAGGCATTTTTATTTCAGTAGTGAAAAGCATATGCCAAAGGAGATTGGGCACTTGACTTCCCTTCAAACATTACCACTATTTGTTGTGGGAGCAGAAAAGGGATATAGAATTGAAGAACTTGGATGCTTAAGCCAACTGCGAGGGGAATTGGGCATTCGGGGACTTGAAGATGTAGGATCCAAAGTTGAAGCCTCTAAAGCAAAATTAAAAGAAAAGAAAAAGTTGCAGGGGTTGACATTTAGATGGAGTGAAAAGAGAGAAGCCAACAACAACATCAACGATGAAGAGGTTCTAGAAGGTCTTCAAACTTATCCAAATTTGGTTATTGAGTATTACCAGGGAAAGAACTTCCTGTCATGGAGGGAGGGTGGTGTCAATAGTTCACTCAACAACTTAATGAACTTGGAGCTATACCATTGCAATGAATGCTTATATCTTCCGAGCCTCGGTCTATTGCGTAATCTCCAGTTTCTTAAAATTGAGGAGATAAGGGAGGTAAAAAGCATCGGTAGCAAGTTCTATGTGGATCAAAGCAACAGTGATGATGGAGTAGGATCGGCTACACAATTCCCAGCTTTAAGAGAATTTAGTGTAGAATATATGAATAGGCTGGAGGAATGGGTAGAGGTAGAAGGCGTGACCGTGTTTCCTTGTCTTGAGAAGTTGATTATTGAGAATTGTCCTAGGTTGAAGACTTGATCGATGGATAGATTTTCATCTAATCATAAGTTATCTGCTTTGACAATAAGCAGATGTCCCAAATTGATGGCTATACCAAGTATGGACGGCCTCTCATCTCTTGAAACTTTATGCATAGAGGAATGTTCCAAATTAATGAGTCTACCAAACGGATTGGGATCCTGCATTTCACTTCAGGAGTTGATAATTGATAAATGCCGAAAACTATTTTGATTCAAAGTATAAATGGGCTTACATCTCTTACAGGCCTTATGCTTTTAGGTTGTGATGAATTAACGGGCCTACCGATTGGGCTGCCATCCTGCACTTCTCTTCAGCATTTGGAAATTTGGGATTGTAATAATATAATTTCAACGGCCGAAGACATTGGGGAATTACATTCACTCCGTGAAGTACAAATCTGTTATTGTGAAAAGCTGAGGAGCATTCCAGAGGAGTGCGTGGGTAGACTCACCTCCTTGAAGCGGTTATCGCTAGGTGGTTTCTGGTCGGAGTTGGAGGAATTTCCTGGACTAACGTCCATTCATCAACTCCACGCCTCCCTTGAAGAATTGGTATTGATAGGATGGGATAAACTAAAGTCTCTGCCACATCAGCTTCAACATCTCACTGCCCTCAAGGAATTGAAGTTATGGAACTTCAGTGGTCTGGAAGCTTTGCCAGAGTGGTTGGGAGAGCTCTCGTGTCTTCACAACCTGCGGATTTGTGATTGCTCTAATTTGACTCATCTGCCTTCTATTGAAGCCATGCGACGCCTCTCCAACTTACAATCTCTTGACATTTGTTTTGTCCCAAATTACAAGGAAGATGTGCCAAAGAGAGCGGCCCCGAATGGGCCAAGATTTCCCACATGCCCAACATCGGAATAAATTTTTAGCGCCTCCAGCGGCAATCCGAATGAGAGAGTGAGGTATGTTTAAATCCTTAAACCTAAACTTTTGGGCATAATGGATTCATAACATACACTTGCAAGTTTGATGAAACTAAACTTGGTTATTCATGCAGGATTGGGGGTGGTATTGACCGTGATTGGGCCGCTCAGAGTTATAGAAGCTAGCAAGTCTTCAAATTCTATACTGTATATTATTTTCTTTAAATTAATAGCTTTTATTTTTTGGCATTAAAACACACGGAGTGCGATTCTTTCAAGTTATGTCTGATGCATCTAAACACATTAAAGTGTAAAGCTTGAGGGTGTGAGAACCCAGTAGCAGGAGTAATTACTACATGCTTTCGGTTTTTAAGGTGCATATACTGATTTCTTTTCTATAATACTGTTTTTGGATTTTGATTGTGATTTATTTTTTTGTCTGATTAGTTTACTTGTTTAGCTCAATTTTGTTCATCTATTTTTTTTAAGAAAAGTTGGGGGCTTAATTGGGACTTTTCTTGCTTTGATGAATTGGAAATCTTGATTATGTCTGTTAAAGATTACTAGGAGCCTGGAGGATAAAAAAAAGAAAAAAAAAAGGAAAAGAAAAATCTTTTGTTTCTTAATTAATCAAATAAATAATGTGTTAATGATTTATGCAGTCAACGCGATACTATTTTTGTTCGAACTTTCCCATTATGTTCTTCCCAACAATGTAAGACATGGTGGAATCAAGGACTTGCAGAATTAAGGTAAGCGTTTGAACCTTCTGTATTTGTCTAAAAATTTTAGATACCTTGTATGTTGTTCAAGTGTCCGTTTCTAATTCTTTGGCATCAAACCACTAGAGTAGCTCTCAACTATGTTATTTCGAAAAAGTTGAATGCAAGCAACCTTTCCTGCTTTGAATAAAAAATCTTGAAGAACTAACACGTGATTTCTGACAATTAATTCTATTTTCTCCTTGAGTTGTTGTTTCCCACAAAAATTAGCGTAGTTTCCAGACCACATCAGTCAGATATTATCAAGTTGTGACTTGTAAATTGATTGGTGTACATTTCTGTCTTTGTCTAACAAGATTTCAAGTTACACGGGATTAGCAAATGTAGTCGAGTTACTCAAGAAGGATATTGGCTTCTCTGTCAAGCTGTAAGCTTTAGTAGTATCTAGGTTTGACTTCTTTGTTTGCAAATGTATCTGCCCTCGGTAGAATAGAAAATTTTTGGTATTCAAGTCTCAGTTTTCAATGCTTGGGCTGACTAGTCTTGATATGGTGTAGGGGGAGATGAAGAATGTGAAGAAGATATTTCAGTTCTCTTTTCTCTGGTGGACTGTTTGGGATATGCAACTAAACAGAAAAATCATGCCAAGATAATGTCTTCAAACATATGTGCCTGCAGTATATGCCAATTGCCAAGATATTCCTTTTTCCTCTTACCATACAATGGTATGATACTATCAAATGCCACTCAGAGTTCATTGTTGTGTCCTTAACATGTGCTCCTCTTTCCCAAAAAAGAAAGAAAATTTTGTTCACAAAGTGATAGTTAATGTACTTATGTGCCAATATTAATATACAACAATCACTTTGGCTGCATTTACCTTTGGTTTTCATTGTTTGTTGACATAAATTGTACAATGAAACCTTTTAATTAATAGTGCAGTTTCAGTTCAAGTATACTTGAAACACCTTCAGGGTTCTGTGACAAAGGACTCATGTGCTGTCTCTGAATCCTTCTATCTTTAGCATGTCTCTTGTGGGGAAGCCTTTCTGTTTCAGGTTAGAGCTTCACTGTTTTGGCATTTGCTACTCTGCATATGTTTTGACTCATGTATAGTTTCTAGGGGAAATGAAGAATATGATTGTGCTAATAAGTAATAAGAATGGAGATGGAATGAACATTTTCAGAAGATTCTGAAGTATTTTTCAGTCATTTTTTCTTTTTCTTTTTTTTTTTTTTTTTTTTTTTTTT